TCTATGTTCCAGGAGGTGGGGTGGAATAAAACAACAAAGTGGATGCCCAGGTGGCTTTTCAGATGGTTTCAGCTGTCTCACAGATGATGTTAATGGAGCACTTTATAGGTCCTGAAAATTGCACTAGGAGTTCTGATTGTAAGAATAGAGGTTGAGTGTGAACTACCTGGCACAAAATAACTAACTGTTCTTTCCATTCATTAGCTTACATTTTTATTGTATTTGTTCACAAAATGTCAGGTTTAAAGATTCAGTAGGTCTACAGATGATATCTCATCATACCACAAGAAAAATAAAAAGTGACTGCCCTAAATCAGCAACAAAATTTGGTAAGCTAAAAATATAGCAGTAGTTCTATATTCGTTTTTTCTTTTGTTTTAGGTTTATCAGTGTGCAATATTCTAAGAAATAAAACATACTTTGTGTCCTTAGACGTATGTAAATAAAATAAAACCCAGATCTATCTTCTAAGACCCAGTCCTCACCCAGCCTTTTCCATCTCTTTTAAATTGTAATACTAATTGCAATAGAAATAGTTAACAATTAATATAGAACCTTTCTATTAAAGAATTGTTCCAGTAAGAATTAGTTTCCACAGCTGATGGTCTGTATAAAATTCATGCTAGATTAGCTATTCTCCAGATGCCCTTTCCCGAGGTTTATGAGAATAAAATTTAAAGATAACCTGAGCATGTTTAGTTAGCATCCTGTGTCCTAATTCAGTGCTAATTCTTTTCTGCCTGACTGAATATTAATCAGCAGAGAAATGTTTTAAGAGGGCTTCAAGTCAAAGATAGCACCTCATTTTAAAAAGGTGATGGGGAAGGAGAGAGCCTTCTACCTTATGTCTCAGGAATCTAACATTCTGAGGGGTTGGAGAAAAGGAGGTAGATTCACCTTCCCCACTAGCTGACTGATGATCAAGACAGGTTTCAGAATTACATAATGCCAGTCCCAAAGCCAGACGGACTCACTAATCACAATGGTGACCCTGACAGGCAGGAAAATGATTACCTTCAAAATCTGGACCAAAGAGAAATGAAGAACTCATTTATATTTGTCATACATAGTGTGGCAATTTGGCTTTGATAAGACAGAGACCGTATCTAGGTCCAAGTGAACAAAGTTAGCACATATGGACTTCTGCACCTTTTATGATTGCCGGATGTCAACTGGATCAGGAACCAAAATGTTAAGAAGGGTCTCTAGAAATACACTTGAGAGAGACACATTTTTGAGTAATATTTTATGCTTTGTTGTTTTATCACTGCCTATATCAGGGGTGTCCAAACTTTTTTCAAAGAGGGCCAGATTTGATGAAGTGAACATGCGTGAGGGCCGACCATTTTACCTGACATTCTTTGAACCATTAAAATTAAATGCAAATTAACTATTTTATGCAAAGTTTATTGCAAACGGCATACTTTTCATTTCGTCACATGGGTGACAAATCTAAACAGGTGTTAAATCACTCTGCCTTTCATATCTGAAGGCCAGATGAAAAAAAATCCAGGAAGCTGAAATATATGTCAGGAACATTGTAAAGTACATTACATATTATTGGTAATAAAGGTTGTCAGTCAACTTTTAAGTTCAAAAAATATGAACAGGAACATAACACCAAGTATACATGTTGTGTCCAAATATATTTATAACTGATTTATACCAAATGACATTAACTGAGATTTTACAATGTATTCATCTCAATACATATGGATTCGTTGGGGGCCATAAAAGATAGATATTGCCAAATTACCTGTGGGGCCGTATTAAACCAGAACCCGGGCCGCAATTGGCCCGCGGGCCGGACTTTGGACATGCCTGGCCTATATGAATTGTGCTGTCCATGACAGTCATTTAATCAAAAAATCCACCCCATTATGTTTGCATTGATACATTTTTAAACAAAGATTGTGTCTAATTTGCACATGCAATTAAGAATACTGGTTCTGAGAATGTGTACACCATTACCCAATTTACATACACCAACAAGGTAAATGTACAGGCAGTTTTGATGTAGGATACAATTGCTAAATTGTTAACAATAAATGGCTTTCTTGCAAAAAACAAAGAAACCAAAACCCAAAGATCTTATGTTTTCATTTATACTATAATTTAGTATATTTGTTCTATAGCTTAACACTAGATAAGTTTACAATATTATTGAAATCTATTCGGTTTTTCAGCTCTAATTCTTAAAATGTTATCTGTGATCTACAAGATGGTGCAGGACAATACGTATGCAACCAAAAGGTAATAGACTGCATTTCTCTAATTGCAAATCAAAAATATATTTTAAGAATTTTATATAAAGAAAGAACCTAGCTATAAAGCTTACCAAATACCACAACACTTTTCTTCATGTAAAATTATTTATATTTATTCATGCTTTCATTAAAATGATTTTACAATGAATCCTATGACTCAATCAGTATTGTATTAAAATTAGTTTGTTTTTTACAAATATAATATTTTTATCTTGATAGAGATATATATTATAGTGATACACTACTGTTTGGTAGCCAGAGTGTTGTGGACAATATAGTCAATGACATTTCCTGCATGCTTAAGATACCGAGAAGAAGTCTACACATAGTAAGTAGTTGTTTATGATTATTAAATCATACATATTGCATTACATTAACAACTGAAAAAGTTAGAAAATGATTGGTAGGAAGTATATATATAGCAAAAATTAAAAATTATAATTTTGTAAATAAAATATATACTTTACTATTTTCATATCACTTACAGATATATTAGCATTTGAGATAAAATGCTGGCTCTACTGAAGTTAATGGGAGTTTTGCAATTGACTTCTATTAAGCCAGAATTTAAGCCTTACTATCTTCTGCCTTGATTGAGTAATTTGTGCTTAAGTGGTTTGTTGATTTGGGGTCTAAGTGAGTGTTTAACGTACTTACATAGGAACATGGCATACTTTCAAATGTTGTACTTGTTTCCTGCCTTGAAATTTGAAACATTTTTTTCCTCTCTAAACACAGTTAGCATATGTTGTCATGTAGGATGAACTAAAAAAAAAAAAAATCTGTATTTTATTATGATAATAATAGTCAATAACAATGTATTCATTATCAGAAGTCTTTTGTAGCTGATTTAATCTTTTCCTATCCAATGTACACAATTTAATGTATAACACTTGAGTTACTGTAATTTTCTCCCAAGCTGTCTACAACTAAAGGTTGCATTTCTGGTAACTTAAGTTATACTGAGGAAGATGGTACAAAAGTGAATTGTACATGCAATGCAACGGTATGTATTACTAATATTAACCTTTTATGTTCATGTTTGTGTAATTTCCTATATTTGTTGTGAACAAATTTATGAACATATGTACATTTGTGCCTGTGGCAAACTTTGTTGTTTTTAGACATTACTGTACTTTTAAAATCTCACTACTAATACCCCATTCTTGCAAATTATATGCATTCAAAAGTCTTAAGGAATGCAACAAAAGTTTTGCATGAGTAAGGACTGTAAGATCAGAGCCTCCATATATTTTGAATGTAATCTCTGTGTGCTTTATATGTTGTAAATTTGTGGGATAGCTATAGAATCAACAGAAACACTTACCACTTCGAAAGACCAGACTGTGCTCACATTACCTTCTACCATGGGAAGTTCTGCAGCGGAAGACATTTAATTTGTGCAAAAGCTTCAGGGGATAGCCCAGTTAATCTGTACAGGATAAACTTACAAAACAACAAATAGTCTGGTAGCATTTTAAAGACTAACAAAACATGTAGATGGTATCATGAGCTTTCGGGGGCTGTGCCCACAAAAGCTCATGATAACATCTACATTTTTCGTTAGTCTTTAAAGTGCTACCAGACTATTTGTTGTTTTTAAGTTTATTTAATTTGTGGTGGAGGTTCTTTATAACATTCTTCTACCGAAACAGTGCTCTGAATTTGAGTGTCCTAGGTGCATGAAAACACACAATTTATGACCATGTGTGTTTCTGGCAGAGAACAATCCCTTTGCCATATTCTGACCCCGTCCTCTGAGTGCACCTTTCCATGCAATGGGCACACCACTATGATTTGTATTAGTAAAAGTACAAACAGTAAGTGAATTAAGCCATATATTCAGATACAAAATGTATGTAAGGACTTGATTCTCTTCTCACTTACACAAGTATTACACCCCAATGAAAAACCACTGAGTTCAATGGAGGCACTACTGATTTCTAACAATTTAAGTAAGTCTTTAATTCACTCATATCCAAATATTATGACATATTATGGCTTATAACAGGATCTCACATATTAGAAGGAACTATTTATAATTGTACAACGTGGCACTTACAAACACCAGAAAGATAAAGCCCTGCACAGATATAAAATTGATATCTGCATCCGCACCTGCAAAAATAATCTGCAGACACCCACAGATATAAAGCAAATGTCTGCAAATTTGCAGGGTTCTAGATACAAATTTTTGTATCTACATCTGTATCCACAAAAATGAGCTGCAGATATCTGCATCCTCATCCACAAATGTGGATAGGTGTCGATATAAAGCAGATATTCACAGATTTACAGGACTCTACAGAAAGGGTTCTATCATCAACCCCATTTTACAGTTGAGAAAACTGAGGTAAACAGAAATTAAGAGCCAGATTTTCAAGTATTCAGCACCAGTAGTTGGACTGAGTTTTTGAAAATCTGTGCATTACCTTAAGGCATGTAAATGGAAGCAGAGTTCTTCTGAAAGTCTAACCCTAACAGATTTGCTCAACACCATGCTGTTAGGGAGTAGAAAGCTGGAATAAAACTGATTTTCTGACTTCTGCTATTATTCCCTATAATGTTTCCATTCTAAATAAAAGTGTATGATTTAAAAATGGAAAGAAAATGGTATCTTTCTTTACTTTGTTTTTCATCTAAATCAGAACTTTAAAGATCTCCATTATCAATGCTCTGCTACACGGCCCCACATTTCTATTTATAAAGCTCGTCCCCACTGGCACCTGAGATGATACAGGAGTAAGAAATTAAACAGACCACACGTGTCAATATATACAGACTTTTTTTGCCAAGTTCTTCTTCCATTTCCTGCTATCTCATCCATACGATTGCCAGATTGGGCCAAATACTAATCTGAGATGTGAAATAAGCATTACCATATCTCAAATAACCTGTTGCAAAAAAGTTAAAAATATAAAACAAACTCCAAATACAGGTTATCAAAACAAGGTGTTTAAAGGTCTTTTGTAAACATCTTTAACAAGCATTCAATTATATTTTAAAACTTTAAACTTGCAGTCTCACCTCCAATGGCATTTTTCCCTGGCTAAAACAAAGAAAAATGGAGAGCTGCATTATTGTTCAGTGACCGTGTGATTCCACATACAAGTAGCAACAGATATTTTTGAACGATGCCTCATGGTTGTAGGATTCCTTTATACCTTTGCTTCACAGCAGGTTATACAGGATAAAGTATGCCTGTAAAGCAGTGAAGGTGTCAAAGGTGATGCTATATATAAAAAGATGGTTGTTTTAGGATGTAATTTTACCTTCATTACCTCATGTCATTTTAAAATATATCACCGTCTCTATTTAAAATGATTAATTTTGTTTTTGTTGTTTTAGGCAGTCATTGTGCCATCTAATGTTCAAGGAATTAGAAGTATCCTTTAAACAAGAAGTCCAGTTGTAGATTTTTTTTTAAAGTATAAACAAAGTATATTCCAAGTTAAACAATGTTTTTGTAATTTTTTCTCTACTTCTTGGCTTTGAAACTGACTTAGGAGCACTGCCTTTGGCTTGAATACACACATATGTTGGATCATTAGTTTGTCACTTGATTACTATAATACAATGCTACAAATTTTATTTTACATGCCACTAGCCTTAATAGCAAAGATGTGATCACAGATGCAAAATTTATACTAATTGTAGAAAAAGATGCAACTTTTCAGAGGCTCCTGGATGATGACTTCTGCAATAAATTGTCTCCATGCATAATGATTACGGTATGTACCTGACATTTCTCACTGCAGCTCTACTTCTAGGAGCGTGTATAATATAATAACAATGTGGTGATTTCCAAAAACATCAATCATATATTTCAGAAATGAGCATCTGTCTGTCTGTCCATGTGTCTGTTGGGTATACAACTTCCTCATATTCTATCTTAAAGCAAGGTCAGGGTTTGGTTGTGCCAGGAAAATGGGAAGTGCCAGGAATGGGACTGTTTTCCATAACATGGAAATTGAGAGAGCACAAAGAGAAAGGATACGATACTGAGAATGGTTTCTGTTGGCTGTGGGCTGAGCGGAGAGAAAAGGCTCCTGCTAGCTAGGGAGGCTGCGGGGAGACAGAAAGCCCATACCGGTTGGGTGGGTGCTGGGGGAAGGGAGAGAAATTCCTTGCCATTTGAGGGGGAGAAGCCCTGCTGGATGGGACCCCCCCCAACCCTGCAGCCCTTCTCACCCTCCTCATTCTAACACCCACCCCACATCTCCAGCCCCCAGTCCATAGCCACTCCTCGACCCTCCAGCCTGACTCCTACACCCCTTACACCACCAGCCCCCTGCCCTGAAGGACACAGGTAATACCAGGTGAGTCTTCTAGTTTTAAAATATATTATAATGAAGATATGTTTACCTGAAAGAATTTTGTCCATTTTTATAGTACCATAAATGGAGAAAAATAGAATCATACTGAAGAGTAAAATGCATTTTGTGTTTTTATACATATTTACATATACACATTATAATCTTTTCCAAAAACATTCAAATAAGGTTGTAATTAGTACTCTTGATTTTGCCATATAACAGAATGGAATATGGAATATGTAGTTTAGAATTTTTTAAAAAACATGCAAACAATCAATGACATGAACTGTGTTTTAAAAAGGTATTACAATTAATTAAAAAACCTTAATCCATGCATTATTAATTTGAGACTTCACAAATCCATCTATTCTCAGGCTATGTCTAGACTGGAACGCGTCTGCTTTTCTGGAAATTTTTTTGGAAATGCAGACGCGGTTTTTCGGCATCCCTATAAACCTCGTTTTACGAGGAAGAAGGGATGTTCCGATAAAAGATTTTTTCCCAACATTTGGCTCAGTGTAGCTGGGCCCAATGTCAGAAAAGCCTCTTCCGAAAAAATAATCGGAAAAAGATACGCAAATTGCGGTTTGCAATTTCGTATCTTTTTCCGAAAAAAACTTGCAGTATAGACATAGCGTCAGTGTGATAAAGTACTGTAATAATAATGAAGTGTCTCATGACAATTTCGAGACAGTCTTAATTACATTAAAAAAAGCTAGAAACAAAAAGATATAGTAAAAGCAAGTACAGATCATTTCCTAATGATAGAGAAGCACAAACAGAACAGATCACAGTGGTTGTTGAGGCTTTTTGAGTTTGTCATGAAAGAACAAAGGTGAAAATCCTGGCTACTATGAGGAAAGTAGTTTACTTACCTCCTCCCCTCCAGAAACACACACATTAATACTACTTTTGCAGTATATGTGCAGAATGTGTGCCCTAATCCAGATCAACTCCATCCATATTTATAGACACCTTGCAAACTTTTTTTGCCATTAATATGAAAAAAACTATAAGCTTCTTTTATTGTGAGCATGGATAGATATGGGCATCTGTTTATGCTTGGTTGCATGCCTGTTACTCCTTTCTTTCCTCTCCAGCATTCATGTCTACCATACAGGACATCAGCCATGCTGTTTTGTAAACTGATCTTGGAGCCAGAATAGGATCAACCACCTTCTCCCTATACAATAACTGCAGAAAAAATGTTTCCTGTTTTTTATGGCATACCTAAGCATGTGCCTAGTCAGACTTTGTCTTAGGTAATTCCAAAACTTATTTTATTTTATTTGCCTTTAGGGAAAAGGAGTACCAGATCTGAACACAAGACTTCTAGTGAGAAAGTTGTGGGATACATGTCATATTCCTATCTTCACCCTCATGGATGCAGATCCACATGGTAATTTCATGCTAACAGCAGAACAGAAACTTATTCATTGAATTTTAATGAATTTCTCCCCGACCCCCCCCCGACCCCCTTTTTTTTTGCTCAACAAAAAAATCCTTGGTGTTCCTGGTAAAAAAAAAAAAATTATTGTTTGGTTCCTTGGTCTTAAAAAGTTTAAGAAACACTGGCTTAGAGCTACTAGTATGATGACTCATCTCAGAATGGTTCTTTGGGTATTATTATTCCATTGAAAAAAGGAAAAAGTAGAAAATATTTTAAAATGTCATAATTTTGTTTTCTTCTCATAGACAAATTCTTATGTACTGCAAGTCCAATGCTCTAGTCACAACTCATACAAAATTCCGATTAACTCTAATGGGCATTCTGTCAAAGTAAGGCCTACTGGATTTAGCCCTAAGAAAGTAATATCATGTGTTCTCAGTAAAATAAAAATTTAGTTCAATGTTTTCTATAGCTAAAATTTGAATTCTGAATATAGATTTGTTCACAAGTTTATAACTTTTTCCTGGTGAAAGGTGAATTTTGTTGTTGTTTATCTTTACATTTTCCCTATACTTTGATAGAGATGCCACAGACAATGACATTTTGCATCTTCACTTGTACAAATAATACTGAAGATGGAGCATGAGGAATTACTCCAGTTTCAGTCTTTCCCCCACTGTTAGGTGGCAGGCAGGAGGGTCAGACATAGTGAATGACAACATTTTTGCTGTCTCCATATTTCTGAGACAATTATGTGGGAAGGGGGAAACTACGAAGCTGAGAGCTGGTAGAAGGTAACTCATTGCTGGAGGGGGAAGCAAGCTTTAAGGAGCTTCATCTGATGATTCAACTGCAGAACATACTTGATTCTGTACACATAATTGATGTGTAATTTTGTCATTACTTTTTGAAATGTGATTTTTTCTAAAAGTATGTATAGCTTTGTTTAACAAATCTATGATTAAGAATACTTAGAATGCTGATAATTAAACTTAAAAGAAGGTACTATGGAAAAACTAGGGTAAAAACCAAGACAATGAAAAAGTGCTTGACACCATCTGTGTTGAATAGGCTTTTGCTCAGACCTGTGTGTGATCACGGAATCCTGTTTTTTTAAAAAAATCTGTAAATTAGTAGCTGTTGGTATACATTTTAATTATGTAGTAGTCTTCATTACCAATAATAATAATACAGTATAATTAATTAGAATTTGAAAACCAAGGTATAATGTAAATTAAGGTCAATTTTCTCTCAGCAGCGTTCTCAATGAAAAAGGCCTTTGATTAAAATGTGACACTAAAATGTTTAGTAATTCAAATTATATTTTGACTAATGTCATATATTAATGTTGTAAATAGCAGAGCAACTCAGTTTGTAAAGAAAAACAAAAAATGTTGAACTCTAAACAACCCAGTTTAGCTTCAAACCTGATTAACTGAATCAGAAAGTAAATTGGAAAGACAGAATTTCATTTTATTAAAATGCTCTGACTGCCACTGGTTAACTTTCCTTGTTTAGTGAAGGAAATTCAGAAAGTATTCCTTAGGACAATAAAGAACCATATACAGTAAACTTCCGATAATCCGGCACCTTTAGGACCCAGGGGGTGCCGGATTATCAAATATGCTGGACTATCGGAAGGGGGGGCTATGAGGGGTCTGGGGTGGGGG